ACAACTTCCTTGGCAGGTTCATTTTGCAGTTTTAGTTTCCATATTTGTAATCAGCGTTTGAAGCTCTATCGATATATCTGGGTCTCATCTCAAAGTTCCATGGGAAGTTGAATGCCTTTCCTGGTTAGTGTAACTAACCTAGAGGAATTTTCATTTCCAGTCATACGCATATGCACACACAGACACGCTCACCAAAAAAGCCTTTTAATTAGTGGATTATATTTAGTGAAAATTGTCAGAGTGAGAAGTTTCTCAAACTGTTCCTAATTCTCCTCTAACTTCCTAAACTCCTAAACCAAGCCACATCCAGCTGTGTGTCAAGAATGCGCCCTTGACTAAAAGATTGCTGCATACGCTTGGTATTCCCCGGCTAGACTTGTCGTAATTGCAGACTTAGCAACATGGTATCATCGTGCATCAAAAAGCATTTGTGAAATGCCAAATTTAGTATTTCGTGATAAAAATTTGTTCAACGATGTTTCGATGTTTCGGCATAAAAAAATGTGATATCAAACGTATTATGTTAGAAATTTTCAAAGTTGTCGCCCCTCCTTTTAATTTAATTTTAATCTAATTTTGACCACTTGAGCACTTGGAAGCATCAGGAAAAATACGATAGTTGTCGAAACTTGTTATAAGTCTCATTCCAGTCACTTATGCTGAGCTGGTTGAGTACCTTACTTGTCACTCCGCTGACCTTCCTCAGTACCTTCGCCATCGACAAGTTTGGACGTAGACCGGTCGTATTTATTGCGGCCACTATCATGTTAGTTTCTAAAAGTACCTTTGGTGTTGAACATTACATTTCAATACTATCAGTAATTCGAAATCGTGCATACTATGTGTAGATATTAATTGTTCTAATGAGTGTAATGGGCGCATGAATCAAATAAAATTTCAGCTTCCTCAAAATTCTCATTATGTTTGCCGCTCAGATGTTGGTTTTCGTTATATCCCCGTCATGGATCACGATGACTATGGGTAGGTCTTGCAAAGATTACTTTTCGCGCATTGTTGCTCGGGTGGGGGATTTTTGAAGTTTCTAGAAGGGCGGAAGTGGTGTAGTGGCAAGTGGCACGCTTACCACGCGAGCGGTCCGGGGATCAAATCCTGGGTCGTGAGTCGCCCGGGCCAACCAAGCCTTCCATCCCTCCGGGGTCGGTTAATTGGTACCAGACTTGTCTGGGAGGATAAAAACACTGACTTGTACATCGGCTGGCCCCCGCAAGTCATTGTATAGGCCACATCGCATTCAAACGCCACTACGAATGTACAAATGGAAGTAGAATGCGTGCCGCATCCCAAAAAGGGAATCATCAACAACAAAAGCAAGAAAAAAAAAAAAAAGTGAGGATCAACGGCAAATGCTTTATCCTTTTTTTTATCCTCTGGAACTAAGCCTAGGCAGCGGGGACGAACTCCGAAGTATACGAGGATTGCTTCCGCACACCGGAGTCCCTTCCCTCTTTAAGCCATAGTCCTGAAACTGAGCGTTTCCGTAATCCTGTGGCAATATAAGTGACTGCTTCTCCTCCCACCCCTCCCTCGAGCCATATTGCGATTTAGTTTTTAACACAGAAACTAGTGTTCTCTGCGAGCGGAAGGAATTTTCACGCAGTCGTGAGCGGTCTGGCTTCACAAATTCCTTAATACTTGAAGAGCATCACTTCAATGCACATTCAAGCAAAGATATGCAAGCAATGATATGATCTCCCAGTAATCTCATTTTGTGTATCTCCAAGCGACAGCCAACGAATTCGCCTCAGACTTGATCAGCTGTACAGGAGCAGGAGCCGTGGCTTCGTTATTGATAGCTGAACTTGTTCCACCGGCTGCTCGTGTTGCAGTCGCTCAGGCAGGACTTTCAATTTTCTGGAATTTTCTAGGAAACCTCTAGTGATTTGCACTCAATACAAGTTTGACTGCAAGTTCAGGTGCTGCTCTTTGTACCATTGGCGTCCACCGTACCAACAATGACGTCATTCCCGGTGCTGAATGCGATCTTTGCACCAGCTGTCTACGTTCCCATGCTCATATGTCAACCCTTTCTGATCGGTTATCTTATCAGGTGAGATAGAAGTGTATAGCAGTGCTTTGCATCTCGCTAAGAATACCAGAGATCACTGGATTGCATGGAACGAGAAAGGTGACACGTTCAGCGTTTAGTATGACTCGCCATCAGCCCAAGAAAGCTGTATTCTCATTTGAATGGTAAAGCTGAGTGTAAATCTTTATCTCAATCAACCTGAACACGTTCCTCTCGTAGCTCGTGCACTCCAACTTTTGCCACACGAGAGAAACTCGGCTATTCCCTTTCTGTTTTGTATTACGTCTGTTTTGTATTCGTCAAGTCTAAATTGGTCGCTGTTATTTCTAAATTCGTGCAGTCTAGAGAAAGGGGTCTCAGCAGGTGCACCGTTCGTTGTGCAAGTTCAACCAGGGAGTCGCACTTGGGCGTTCTGGAAGGGGTAGGATTTCTGTCAACGCGTATTTCTGACTGTAAAGGCGGAGAGGCGAGTCGGATTTGATTGAGGAGATCGTGGCGTAGAAGTTGGTCAGAAGGGCAGGGTCGCGCAGTACTGAAGGGGAAGGTTGTTTATGACAAATTCGGCGAAATTTTCACGAGCCAACATAAAATGCGCGATGCGAGAGCATTTGCCATTTCTCAAACCATACTATGTACCGCCGCTTGACGGCATGCAATTCTGGAGGAAATTTGGGCGAGATGGTGTGCGTCGTTTTATCTTGGTGCGGGGTGGGGGTGGAAGGGGGAGGGGTGAGAAAGGATCCCAAGGCTGGTGGTTGTGATGAGAGTCGTGCCGAGACCCTCTTGAAGGCAGTGATCAGATAGCTGAGTGGTGCGGATGACGTCATTGAAATTTATTCGAAGAAGGGCCTCAAGAGGTGGTGCCTACCACACACCTTAGCGTACTATAGGTTCAAGTGCACCAAGACGTTATCAAAACCGTACCGCCTTCAGCCACCGCGATCACTGCCTTCAAGTGGAGGGGTCGTAAAAAGTTCCGAATCGGCATAACCGACGGTTAAACCTGGTTGCATGTGGTGCTGCGCACATTTGGCTGTACCGTGTTCTCGGTAACCCCTCTACATATAAAGCAGAAGTTTGGCGTTTGTGTGTCTCTCTATTTGCAACCACTAGGGCTGCACGCTACGTAGACCCGAAAAAACAGTAAGGGCATGGGCGTGTACGGCTGGCAGAAAGTGGATACGGAGTAGGCGGAGCCCGACCTTAGGGGCGAGGCTGTGTGGGGCTTATTATCGGTTTTTGCGCAAAGGGCTCGAATGAGGTTGGGAATCGCAGTGTTGATTGGGGCTGTGGTAAAAGTGAAATTCTATCGGGTCACATGCTATCGATCGATATCGATTGAAAATATCGGTTTTTGCGCAGAGGGCTCGAATGAGGTTGGGAATTACAGTATTGATTGAGTGCTGCAGTAAAGTGAATGCTTCACAGGGTCGCATGACGTGAGTGAAAGCTCGCCCACAATGGGCGGAGCGTGCTCTGAAGTGTACGGCTTTTCCTACAAGTCCTCATAATTCGGGTTCCAGGAAGTCTTAAAGAGTGGGAAAAAGGTGGATAGAGGTTAGAGAAGGAGTGGAGGTCAACTGTTGGTGGTGGAGCGTGTACCGATGTTATGTATTCGGACCCACCACAAGGCTTTGTATATCATTAGGATTATACTCATCACGATTTTTTCCGGGTCCTTTCCCATGTCAATGAAACATTGGTCATCGAATAACTCGGGATCAATTCAAATTCAAACATGGATACGTGACACAGCCTACGTTCAGTGGTACAAGCTATCCCACGAATAAAATTGCCAGCTCAGCAACTCTAGAGGTGGTGCTTCGTCTAGGACCCGAAGCAAGGGCAATGGAAGCTCCAAACCATTGCATCCCACCGTTGTGGTATCTGTTTCCCTCCTCGCCGTCCTCACCCGTCTAGGTTTCTCTCGCGCCGTACTTCTCATCGCGTTGTCCGCCTTTTAGAGCCTCATTTTCAGTATTCCAACTATTATTTTTCCTTTTTTACTCAAGGCCTAATTTGCTCCTTCATCTATACATATATTCCAGTCGGATACCTTCCAGTGCATAGGAAATACCTTTATGGGAGTGGTATCTAGCTAAAGTGTAAAAATGGAGCTGGTAGCTGGAAGTGCAAAAATTAAGTTGTCCTACATCTTACGCATCCTATTCAATTCTTTGCACATTGTCAGTGGTCGCTGGGGCCCTCTCCTCGCTGGCCACCCCCCCCCCCCTGCCTTTTAACATATTTATAGGCATTACACCACGACCTCACTAGAAATGAATTGGTACCACTTTGCTCAATGAGCAAGTATCACTGATTTTTGCACCAGCATAACTCCATAAGTCATTGTGCTGGTAAGACGTGCATTCGGGCTTGAAGTAACAACCTCAGCAGAAGTTGTGTCGAAGAATCTTTTCTGTGGGTGGAACAAAGTAGCCCGCGAGTCATAATCATGTGTCGTTGCAGCGTCAAAAACCTATGTCGATTAATCTTAACTTATGGACAAAATACCTCGCGAACACCCCACGACTGGCAACGTGGATTACGCGTAGCGCTATTCAAAGTTAGTGGAGCCGTGGAGCAAGCAATTTCCGAAAACTCGTCCAGCCCCGCCCCTTCCTTGTTCAACGAGGAAGAGAGAGAATACTCGTTGGTAACTTCGGCGAAATTGCTTTGGTTCTTTTTTTCATTTTTAGTCAATTTGCCATCCACAAATCCATTACCGACCACCGCGACCCCATGAATTTTGTGGGAGTGTTGCCTTGATAGCATGAAAAATGTACTGAAACATCCACGAATAAGTATGAATTAAGTAAGAAAGAATAATTAGGATTACAGTGAGCTTCAGTTCTTATTGAACCTGTTAATAATTTGTATTTTGAGTTGTATGGCTTCGTGTTCCTTGCGAGTACTTCAAGCACAATGTTATGATCGAATAACACACGCTAAACTATTTCAGAAACCTTCCTGAAACAAAACAACTCCCAGTTTACGAAATTGTGCACAACTTTGAAGAGGAAGTTCGTTCACGGGTGAGTTGTACAAAGCAATTCCTCATAACATAGAGCCATGCGATGCGAGCCTGCGTAAAGCTGCTGTTTTGTTCAAATGGATAGCAGAGGGATGCTTCTTTTCCATGATATTTCACTTACATGCTGGATAGCTACTGCCAAGCTTATGTAGCGTAAAAAAAACTAAGCGATGCTATGAATACAGAAATGTTGATGGCGACTGAGACTATCATCCTGTGAGGTCACTGTAACTAATAATCAGGCACTCGAGAGCAGGCTCGAGGAAACTGTTGTCAGCCTGCACGTTGCCATAACAACTGAGACCAGTCTTCCTCAAACAAGCTTAATTCCCTACACTTCAAGAAATATACTGATCAAAAACGCAGAACATTTCGCTTTCAAGAAGCTATGATCCAGATTTATACAGCGTTTCAGAATTACAATTCCACCCTAAAGCTTCGCATTTTCCGGAAAAAGTAGTGAGGAATTTTTCTGGCATCACCAGCTGATTCCTCACTATGGATAGCCCCTGTATCGCAGTTTTGGTGGGAGCAGCTTTTCTTCGAATTGTTTTATACCTATTTTTTGGTTTTTGCGCCGTTTCATATATAGGAGGTCACCCTGTGAAAATGAATACTACATTATGCCATGTAGCTTGCTGTTGAAAACTGTCTTATTGTTTTACAAACACATCGATAGCTGGATGTGTTGAATGGTTTCGTTCATTCGGCTTTGGAAAAAAGGGCCAGGCCTAGTGCAATTTCAGTGGTACCCAGCACGTCGTTGTTGTAGTCTTTGCAAAGCAATTCGGGGAGTCCTGTTGCTGTTGTTTAACAACGTTTTTATGAATGATCAGTAGTGTAGTTTAAGAGGATTTGGCCTAAGCGTTCTTCCTTTAAAATTAGAGCAGTGATATATGTTTCTCTCAAAGACTGGAGAGCAGTGAAAAGAAGCAGCGACATTGCCATAAAAATGGTAACGATGGTCTGAAGGCTTACTAGCCGTTACGAGGAGACACAATTTCAATCTGCAAAATGCGACACAATCGCACCACATAGCTAGATATTGAGTTCAGTAAGGTTGGCATTTTTCGGATGAAACTGGTTATACGACAGATCCTGCGAATATAAACACTTTTGAAGTGACTTGCGAAGGTGGCCGATTCACTTCAGCGCTTGCAATTTTAGTTAAGGAGATGTGAAAGGTGTGGGTGCTTTTTGTGATGATGTTGTGTCAAAATTTCGCTTCCATGAACTGCATAATGGACTCCAAAAATTAGCATAGAGCCTTTGGAAGGACATCTGATCTCTCTTTCGAGCTGAAGAAGTCGGCTACCCTTCGTATTCTCACAAAAACAAGAAGCGGCATTACTCTCAGGACTCAGATGGTCTACACAGGCTATTCTGAATTTCTGGTCGAATTTCGGTAGAATATTCCAGGGACATTTTCGTTATGGAGAATCACGCGAAAAACGCCAGTTCGGAACTACACACACAAGAGCTTATACAAGCAACCCTTGAAGCAAGGAACCAGTGGGCCACGGAGGCTATCTGATTTTGCGCTCAATAAAGGAGAAATCGTAGATTATTATGTCCTTTAATGTTGGTCATTAGTCTTAGGTGCTTGTTCTTTTTCTCAGGGATGACCTTATAACTATGAAAGCAGTGCAGGAACCGAAAAAAAATGTTTATGAAAAGTTAGAAGAAAAGCTGCTCCCACCAAACTGCGATGCAAGCCTTCAGTTGGTTGCTTGTTTCGGAAATGCAAGATTTTCAGGTGATCTTAATATTTTGAAATGCACTGTATATTTTCTGCT